CAGCTGTTCTTTTTTTTAATATATAACAGACTAAAATTTTAAGCAAAAAAGATAAAAACTAATATTTAAGATGAGGGGGAAAGGCAGGAAGGCAGGCAAGCTAAAACTGCAGAAGAAAAGAAAAACAAAAGAAATAACTTGTGATTTTCTTTTATAACAGTTATAGGTAAAAAATTAAATTGAACTCTTACTCTATGGTTACAACATAACTTTCATTTTTAACTACTATTTTTTCTAGTCAAATCTATATATCATAATTTCATTTCTTTCTGTTTCATGCCCAAATTTTAATGCCAGTTGGAAACCTAAAGGGGGTTTCCAATTGGCATTAAAGTTAATCAGTGTCTTTTCTCGAATCAAGGCTGTCAATTTAGCCATCTCAGTAAGCTCCATTGTCTTTACCATTCATTCTTTCATTGTGGGTAGTGTCGAATCCTTCCACCAATGTGCATATAAAAGTCTCACTGCTGTTATCATATATAAAAACAAAGTTCCATGAGTGTTTTTTCCAACTTTTTGTCAATCAGTCCCAAAAGAAACATATTAATCTTTAAAATCTAATAAATTAATATATGTATTTGAATCCAAAACTTTAGCTTTTTTACATGTCCACCAAGCATGATAAAAAGTCACCTCTTGTTGTTCACATTTCCAAAAAAGATTCGAAATACCTTTATACATTTTAGACAATTTTTCCAGTGACAAATACCAAAGATATATCATTTTATAAAAATTCTCTTTAACATTATAACTTAATGTAAATTTCAGTCTTTTCAACCATATATTCTCCTGCTGTTCTATTTGTATGTTACAACCAAAATTTTTAGTCCATTTCACCATACATATTTTCACTTGTTCTCTGTTTCAATTTTCAATAAAAGTTTATACTTTTTAGCAATAACATGTTCATCATTTGTACATAATTCTGTTTCAATTTCAGTCTTACACTGTTCAAAACCAGAAGTCCTTTTATCTACTTTAAATATTTCTAATAATTGTGCATAGGAAAATCATTGACACATGTAACCTTCTCATGTCAAATCTCATGTTTTCATTTTGAATTCTCCCTGGGGAGATTCTAATATGTCACCATAAGTTAACCATTTATGTTTAGTCATCATTTCTCTTCTATAAGACACTTCTTGTGGTGAAAGCCACAAAGGTATTTTTGGACACAGCCTTGATTTATATCTTCCATATTTTCAATATGGCATGTCCGACAAAATGATTTTTAAAATCCACATTATCTTTAGCTTTATTATATCATAAATAATCATGCCATCCAAATCTCAAATCGTGTCCTTCTAACTCCAATAATCTTCCATTTCTCAGTATCACCCACTCTTTCATCCAAACTAAACAAGCTGCAAAGTATAGTTTCAATTCAAGTAAACCCAGTCCTCCTCTCCTTTGCATCTTGTAACACCTTATACAGTCAGGTCCAGAAATATTGGGACATCGACACAATTCTAACATCTTTGGCTCTATACACCACCACAATGG